GAGCAGGGAGCCCGATGTGGGACTCGATCCCAAGACCCTGGGATCATGACCTGAGCCGAAGGCAGACGCTTAACGACTGAGCCACCCAGGCGCCCTGGACTATTTATTTCTTTGATGACAGCTTATATCCTTAAGTTTCTTGTCTTCTCAGCTGAGAATCAAATGCATTAAACTCAGAAACTACAAATTACAGTTTTCTATAATAGGCATTAATTCACTTAGTCACTCTATTAAGAAGACAATGATAAACAGCTTCTTTGTGATTATAGGATAGTTGATAACAGAAATGAGAATAGTCTAGTATTTGAGTCATTTTTTTAGGTCATTGTTCAGGTTTTCATGAAGCTTATAGTTTTGGTCTGAACAAGGATTGAGTCTGGATCCTAATCTTTGACCGATTCACTGTGAAAATATTGGCAAATTACCCCCTCTATATCGTTGTCTTATCTCATTTGCAAAATAAGAGATGCAATGCTCCCATCTTAAGGGTGCCTGGGTGGCCCAGTCAGTAAAGCATCTGCCTTCAGCTCAGGTCATGATCCCAGGGTCCTGGGATACAGTCCCACATTAGGCTCTCTGCTCAGCGGGGAGCCTGCTTCTCCCCTCTCCCTTTCACTCTCCCTCTCTCAAATAAATAAATAAATAAAATCTTTAAAAAAAAAGAAAAGAAATGCTCCCACCTTAGAGATTTATAAAGAGGAATAGTTAAAAAGCAAACTTTTTCTTGTCCTTGATGAAAATATTTTACTGCCTTCATCAGTAAACTTTGATCTCTTATGAGTATTCAAACTGATCTGTTAATTTCACTACCATTCATCATTTTGACTTACTCATTTATTTTAAACCATTTACTACTTCATTTTTTCTCTGCCCACTACATATTCTCATGGGGAAGTATAGCATCTTATCCCTAACTACATTACTGAGGCTATAGATAATTAAGATTGTGTTTTCCCAATGGAAGTAGTTTTATATTGAACAACAGTGCCAGTCAATGGACCAGGGGTGCCTAAACACTTTACTGGGAAGGATTCTTTTTTTTTTTTTTTTTTTTTTTAAGTAGGCTCCATGCCCAACATGGGTTTGAACTCATGACCCGGAGATCAAGAGTCACATGCTCTACTGACTGAGCCAGCCAGTCAACCTAGATGGGAAGGATTCTTAAGTAACACATGTTGCAGTGAGTAAAGTCATCATTCTCATGAAATATAGTATCATCCAGAGTCTCAAATTATCTCTAGAGTTTCTCACACACAATGTCCAACATCAAGAAACAGTCAAGAATATGAAAAGAATTGACTCTTGTGAGTCAAGACAAAATATAGACAATAAAAAAAAAGACCGATAGGAGAACCAGATAGTACCAAATTATCAGGCATGGACTTTACAATTAACTGTGAGCAGAACAGAAAGCCAAGAAGTACACCCACGCTTATATGGTCAATTAATCTATGACAAAGGAGGCAAGTATATATGATGGGGAAAAGACAGTCTCTTTGATAAATGGTGCTGGGAAAACTGGACAGCTGCATGCAAAAGAATGAAATTGGACTGTCTTACACCATGCACAAAAATAAACACAAAATGGATTAAAGAATAAATGTAAGACCTGAAACCATAAAACTCCTAGAAGAAAACAGGCAGTAATCTACTACAAAGCAACAATAATCAAGACAGTTGGTATTGGCACAAGGACAGACATCCAGATCAATGGAATAGAATTCAAAATCTAGAAATAAACCCATACATCTATGGTCAACTAATTTTTGACAAGAGTATCAAAGACCACTAAATGTGGAAAATATGGTCTTTTTAACAAATGGTAGTGGGATAACTGGATATCCACATGCAAAAGAAGCCTTTACCTCACACTATATACAAAAATTAACTCAAAATGGTCAAATACCATAATATAAGAGCCAAAACTACAAAACTCTTAGATGAACACATAAGGGTAAACTTCATGACTTTAAATTTGGCAAAGGATTCAAAGACATGGCACTGAAAGCACAAACAAAAAAAAAAGAAAAACTAGATAAATTGGACTTCATCAAAATTTAAAATTTTGCACTGCAAAGGACAGCATCAAAAAAATGAAAAAATAGCCCACGGATTAAGAGAAAATATTTACAATTCATATATCTGAAAAAACATTTGTATCTAGAGTATATAAAGAACTCTAACAACTCAATAGCAGAAAGACAAAAACCCCAATTAAAACATGGACAAAGGATCTGAATAGACATTTCTCCAAAGAAGACAGACAAATGGCTAGTAAGCCTTAAAAAGATGCTCAACATCAGTAGTCATCAGAAAAACATGAATCAAAATCAAAAGTCAGATAACAAGTGATGGCAAGGATGTGGAAAAATCAGAGCCCTCATACACTGGGGGTGGGTATTTAAAATGATCTGGCCTTGGGGCGCCTGGGTGGCTCAGTCGTTAAGTGTCTGCCTTTGGCTCAGTTCATGATCCCAGGGTCCTGGGATCGAGCCCCACATCGGGCTCCCTGCTCTGCAGGAAGCCTGCTTCTCCCTCTCCCATTCCCCCTGCTTGTGTTCCCTCTCTTGCTGTGTCTCTCTCTCTCTGTCAAATAAATAAATATCTTTTAAAAAATAAAAATAAAATGATCCGGCCTGGGGTGCCCAGGTGGCTCAGTCGTTAAGCGTCTGCCTCTGGCTCGGGTCATGATCCTGGAGTCCCGGGATCAAGTCCCACATCGGGCTCCCTGCTCAGCGGGAAGTCGGCTTCTCCCTCTAGCCCTTCCCCCTCTCATGCTCTCTTTCTGTCTCTCTCTCTCTCTCATTCTCTCACTCACAAATAAATAAATAAAATCTTAAAAAAAAAAAAAAAAGCATCTGCCTTCAGCTCAAGTCATGACCCCAGGGTCCTGGGATCGAGCCCCAAGTCACGCTCCCTGCTCTGCTTCTCCCTCTCCTCTGCCCCTCCCTATGTTCATGCGAGTGCACGCTCTCTCTCTCTCTCAAATAAAAAAAAAGTGGAAGCAACACAAATGTCCAGCAATGGATGAAATGATAAACAAAATGCAATATACACATACAATGGAATATTATTCAGTCATAAAGATTAATAGAGCACTGACAAATGCTAAAACATAGGTGAACCTTTAAAACGTTATGCTAAGTGAAAGAAGTGAGTCATAAAATGTCATATACTACATAATTCCATTCATATGAAAGTCCAGACTAGAGAAATCTACAGAAACAGAAAGTCTGGGATGGGAGGACAAAAGGGCTATAGCTAATGGGTACAGTGTTTCTTCTGAGGTTCATTTTGATGAAAATATTCTAAAATTGACTGTGGTAATGGTGGCACAAATCTGTGAATGTACTAAAAATCATCAAATTATATACTTTAAACGTGGAATTGTATTGCATATGAATTATATCTCAAAAAAGCAGTGCTCAGGGACGCCTGGGTGGTTCAGCTGGTTAAGCGGCTGCCTTCGGCTCAGGTCATGATCCTAAGGTCCTGGGATTGAGCCCCACATGGGACTCCTTGCTCAGCGGGGAGCCTGCTTCTTCCTCTGCCTGCCACTCCCCCTGCTTGTGCTCTCTCTCTCTTTTTTAAAAAAAAAAAAAAGCAATGCTCAATGCTTTATTTTGCTTGATTTTTAAAACCATATGTAACATTATTTAGATTTTAAATATTAATTGTATTACAAATAATAGTCACTATTAAAATGCTTTACAATGTCAAGCAACATATCATTGTTTTTTTCTTACCATTATCCCCATTTATTCTTATCTCAAATTCTTTGTAGAGTCTTCCTATGGTTTTCACAATTTCCTTCATGTGCTCTTGCTCTGGTGGCATCTCCCCCTCCATACTTTTATGGCGATTCAATATCCCAAACCCAACATCTGTCCAATTTTCTTGTAAATGTTTAATAATCTTGAGAGAATCATATTTTGACACTAGAAAATCCCCAGTATACTTGTCTTTATCTTCAATCAACATCTAGAGAATGAAAGGGGGTAAGGAAATTAGATTACTCACTAATGATTTCATCAAAGTCTACCCAGATCCTTATTTCATTTGTTCATACAATTTTTTCATGTGACATAATTTTATTTTCAAAATTAAAGTGGGGGCACCTGGGTGGCTCAGTCGGTTAAGTGTCTGCCTTCGGCTCAGGCCATGATCCCAGGGTCCCGGGATAGAGCCCCAGGTCGGGCTCCCTGCTCAGCAGGGAGCCTGCTTCTCCCACTCCCTCTGCCTGCCACTCCCCCTACTTGTGCTCTCTATCAAATAAATAAATAAAATCTTTAAAAAAATTAAAGTGAATTTAAATTAATTATAATACCCTGTAAGATAACCCATATTTTACCAGATGAAATTAATTATATTAAATCCTATATGGGTAAAAATGAATGACAAGCAAATAAGGACCAGAGAGCTGAGCATGTTTAATTACTACCCGCTTTGGTGAGGGTATCACATATCTGTTTACATGATCCCCACTGGACTGGGAAAGTTGCTAGAATGTATAGGTTGTGTTTTATTTGTCTAGCCCAGAGTCCAAGTCCGATAACAAAGTGCAATTTATATATTTGTGACTCAGATAATGCAAACAAATCACCCATGCTTCAAAAAGAGCAATCAGTACAGGGAAGCAATGTAGCAGAGCAATTAAGGGCAAGGATTTTGGGGGTGGAGAGACCTGGACTCATTCTGACTCCACCACTTACCATTTATAGACAACTTAGGCAAGTGACTTAACATTTCTAAGCTTCCCTTTCGCATCTGTGAGACAGGGATCATAAAACCTGCAGGCGGCAGTTGCAGTGAAGAATAAGTACCGTACTGTGTGGAAAGCACCTTCAGCCTGACAGCGTAAGAGCTTAATGAATGTGAATTATTATTATCCCTACGAAATAAAGCAGCATGATTTTTTTTCAATCTTATCTATGCCATGTCAAAATTACCAGATGAACAGTAGAGTCACTAAACCTGCTATACATAAACAGGACAACAAACATCAATTCTGAGAATATTCTGCTCCCATCATTCCAAAAGACAAGAAAACAGCTTCTTGGGGTCTGGAGAAGACTTCACCAGGCTGTGAGTCTGATACTCACTTTGGAGGTATTTCTTTTTTTTTAAAGATTTTATTTATTTATTTATTTGAAAGAGAGAGACACAGCGAGAGAGGGAATATGAGCAGGGGGAGTGGGAGAGGGAGAAGCCGGCTTCCTGCTGAGCAGGGAGCCCGATGCGGGGCTCGATCCCAGGACCCTGGGACCATGACCTGAGCTGAAGGCAGACGCTTAACGACTGAGCCACCCAGGCGCCCCTGGAGGTATTTCAATATCTTACATATCTTCCTTTGTCAGACTGCTATGACATTATAGTAATTTGATTAATGAAAGCTATTTTCAAAGCTCAAACTCTTTTAAGAAGATGTTATTAATAAACAAATTATAGTACACACCTACAGTGATATATTCTTCAGCCTTTGAAAGGAAGGAAATCCTGACACAGGCAACGAAACAGATGAGCCTTAAGGACATTATGCTGAAGGAAATAAGCCCATCACAAAGGGACAAATACTGTGATTCCAGACATATGATGTCTAGCATAGTCAAATTTAGAGAGACAGGAAGTAGAATGGTGGTTGCCGGGGGCTGGGGGAGGAGGGGATAGAGGGGGTTCTTGTTTCATGGGTAGAGTTTCAGTTTAAGAAGATAAAAAAATTCTGGACATGGATGGTGGTGGTGGGTGCACGACAGTGTAAATGTACTTAATGCCCCTGACCTGTACACCGAAAAATGACTAAGACCATAAATGTGATGTTATGTATATACTGTACCACAAGTTTTTAAAGAGATGTTATGAATTTTAAAAGTCCAAGTTGTCCTTAAGACAGAAGGCAGGGACAGGAGAGGCACAAATGTCACTTATATCTGACGATTAGAGGAGAAGATCAGAACTACCCTCACTGCCACCCAAGTATCTTTTCCCAGTTTTTTTTCTGGCAGCCTAACTTTATTTGCCTCAAAAATCTAAAATAGAACTGAAAATAAATATTTAAGTGTGTTTTTAAAAGCCCCTGGAATCTTGCTGTTTTCTTTGTCTTTCATAAAACGCAGTATGGCATTCTGGAAGGATGAGGTGTGACTCAGTTGTAGGTGACAAGTGGCAAGCTTACAAACAGCATTTTGATTACCAAACGGTTTATTAGAACGTCTTACCTTTTGCCACTGCTTGAAATCTGAAATGACGGATTCGAATATATTTTCTTTACTAGGAGATGAAATGTCTTTTCTATTGGGAAAAGGAAAAGGAGCAAGAGCAGGGTCTCAGAACAAGGTATAAACAAAGAAAATCACGAATCCATATACTATAGAACAATATTAGGTTTCTCCCGAATGATTTTCAAACACGCCTTCCATCCTCATACACATTCATCTTTAAATTTGCAAATATAAATATAATTTCAGGCTCCAACCAGCCCTGAGCAATCAAGTTACAGGGTCAGAGGCCATGTGAGTATTAAAAGGGTGGTCTCTGGGTCTTTGCCATCCAAAATTAGATCATTATCTTAAGAGCAATTCTGTTGACTATAGCAGACAAAACAATTTGTAAATAGAAGGGAAGCCTAATGAATAATTAAGACTCAACATTTAGGTCAAGAGCCCCAACTTTTGGTAAGAAAGTTTCCTTTAGGGCCGCCTGGGTGGCTCAGTTGGTTGGGCGTCTGCCTTCGGCTCAGGTCATGATCCTGGGGTCCTGGGATCGAGCCCCACATCGGGCTCCCTGCTCGGCGGGAAGGCTGCTTCTCCCCCTCCCACTCCCCCTGCTTGTGTTCCCTTTCTCTCTGCCAATTAAATAAATAATTAAATCTTTAAAAAAAAAAAAAAAGAAAGTTTTCCTTTAGTATCTCTGAAGTCTCACAAAGAGAAAGCGCTTGATAAAAGGTTCGGAAGAGAAAGAGAAATGAGAACCCCTGCCCCACCTGAGCTCCCCTCCCAGCCGAGAGTCAACAAACAGTAGAAACAGGGATGGCAGCAGCCAACAGCTTGGATATGTACCAGCTTCAGCTTCCAGAACTTCCAACTCTGCTAACCCGGAAACCTTAGAGGATCTGAAAAACCAAAACCATTGTCCTCAATTTGAAATGGAAATGGTACCTAAACATGTTTCCTCAACAGACAAATCATCTTAATTTGAAAAACTTAGAAATCACTGAAATCACTGAATCAAGCCTGCATTCAAAGTCCAGATTCCTACTAACTTTGGCTGCGATTTAATCATCCCACCTGACTTAACTACTTTATAGGCAGCTTGTCCACTGTCAGACTTCTCTAATTGTTACAAAGTATAATATCCAATCCAAATCAATCACCTTATAATGGCCACCCATTGATTCTATTTCTCTGCATATGCACTATGTTACAGAATCTGCAGATGGATCTAGATATTCAGGGACTCCAGTAATAATGACATAAGTTGACGTGATTTTAAAAAGAGAGAGGAGAAGAGAAGAAGAAAAGAAGAGGAGAGGAGAGAAAAGTAAAACAGCCGAACAGAATGGAGGCAGCAGCAGATGGGTAGAAGGAGCAGGATGGACCACAGAGATGGTTAGCACCAGAAACCACAAAACCACTCAAACCCCTAGCAGGACTGCAGCCTCAAAAGGGCTGTTGGTTTCCCGACCAAATCAATGTTAGAGTCATCACAAGAGAAAAGACAGGCAGAGAAAACGAGAGAAAGAATTGGATTGAGTTATCAGACATGACACAGTATAATCAAAAACAAGATTCTTGTAGACCCACCCATCATTTCTGAAGAACTCCTGCCATGTGATAAGACCATCCTTAATAGTTTGTAATTTCTCCCTTGTGGACTCTTCATTTTGTTCCACTTCCTTTTTAAATCTATTCATTGAGCTTCTCCATTTCTGTGTCAACTTCTGCAATAGTGCAAGGTCTGCAGTGTCCTAGATAATATGCATGGAATCAAACCACTCATTCACTTATTCACATAACAAATACTTATTAACATACACTAATAATATTAATTAGTGTATTAATATCGTAATACTAGAGACCGTCCATAGAAAATGGATCAAAATTGAGAAGATATTCCTCTTTCAAAATATCGTAACACCACACAGTTCCTTTGCTGGTGAATTTTCCATGGTACATAAAATATTGGAGACAAGATATTTTTCCTTTGCAACATGAGCCCAATTTCCCCACAGGACTTTCATGGGAGGTAGTGTGGTACAGTGGAAAGAACAGGAATTTCAAAGCCAAACAAAACCAAATGTGAATCCTAGCCAATTATTGGCTATGTAACCTTACGGGATGTTATTTAATTTATTGGGATTAATTTTTCTTATCTACAAAATAAAGACCCTAATATATTTCTCACAGAATTGCTATACGAATGAAATGAGGGATGCCCGGGTGGCTCAGTCATTAAGCGTCTGCCTTCGGCCCAGGTCACGATCCCAGGGTCCTGGGATCGAGTCCCACATCGGGCTCCTTGCTCAGCAGGGAGCCTGCTTCTCCCTCTCCTGCTCTGCCTGCTGCTCCCCAGCTTGTGCTCGTGCTCTCTGACAAATAAATAAATAAAATCTTAAAAAAAAAAGTAAGAAATGACTAGTGTAAATGGTACGACTCTAGAAACACACTAAATGCCACTTCTCTCCTTTTCAACCAAGTGTGCTCATTGAATTTTTGCATAAAATTGCATAAAATGCAACAAGAATACCACTATTTCAATGAACATAGCTACTTACATTTTTTTAATTTAAATACTAACAAATAAAATAAGTCTATAAATAACATTTGCAGTATTATTAACTTAAATTGCTTAATTGCTTTAATTAGGCTAGAAGACAAATATAAAGAAGAGCATTTATTCGGATTTCCTTAGATTTTTCATTCCACTCACAATAAAGCACAAATACAAAACTATATTTAAAATTTATAAACTTAGCAAAGCCTTCTTAAACCCTCAAAGGCTAGAGTCTCTTTTCTCATAACATAAGTAAATTGAGCTTTACCTTGGTTGACAGCAGTATGATGAAATGCTTAGCATATTTATTCCAACCTTTTTCATTGAGGTAAAGTCTTTTAGCCAATATGACTCCATTTTTTTCAATTACCTAGTTGAAGAAAGTACTAAAATGAGGAATCTAAGACATTAATAAACCCCTGTGATTTATTAAACCCTAACCAATTTCAAATATCAATTTTTCATTGAATCATTAATTCAATCACAATTTCTTGTTTAAATCATGAGCTAATTTGAATCATAAACTCATGTTTTCTAAACCTCCTAAACTGGAATCTAACTGAAGTATATAGTAGAGGTTCTCAAGCAACCTGATCTCAAAACCCCTTTATACTCTTAAAAATTAGTGAAGACTCCAAAGAACTTTCATTTATATGCATTAAATCTATTCAATAGTCACTGTATTGAAACTTAAAACTGAAACTATTTAAAATATGTATTTGTTAATTCACTTAAACATAACAATAAATCCATTATACATTAACATAAATGGTATTTTTATGCACTCGTGTGCAAATGAGAGTGAAAAAAGGCAAATAACATCTTAATATTATGATGAAACTAGTTTTCACCTCATGAAAGGGTCTCATGTATCCCCAGGGGGTCCTTGGACCATACTTTGAGAACCACTGGTATATTGAATCAATTATACAGTCATTCAATGAACGACTGTTCTAGACACTGTGCATATTGCCATGAACAAAAGAGACAGTCTCTTTTTTAGGGAGGTGACATTCTAGCTGTCATTCATTTCCTGTTGGAAGGGCCTTTAGAGATGAGCTAACACAAAGCCTCCACCAATTCAAGGTATTTTTCCACAGAAACCACAAGGGCTCAGTTCTCCATTGTTTAAATACTTCTAGACTGAAGAAACTCACTTGTCTTCTTATTCTTACTGAACAGGCCTAGCTCTAAAAATATGCATTTACTGTCATGATTGTTTCCTCTTGACATGTCATTTTAAAATTCTGCATCAGGATGAAACATTATATCCTAGATGAGATCTGACTATTCCAGAGGAAAATGAGACAGAGGTTTGAATCTGTTGAGGGTCATAATTTGCTGTTAATACTTAGTAAACACCAAGTCCCAGGTGAGAGAATAGGCAACCAACCAGCAAACATTTCAAAAACAATAGAATATTGTGGGACTATGATATTTCCCTAAAGTATTACATTAGTGGCCCACAGATTGCCATATTTTAACTCATTCGTCATCTTAGATGTCAAGGTAATAGAACCAAAGTCATATAATCCTAATATGGTTACACTGTGTGAAAAAATACAATTTTTCCTAGTTTATTATTAGTATAAATTAAAGTTGAAAGTTTTAACATGTTCACAACAATAGAAAAAGAATTCTTGCTCATACTTCATAGATTCTGGTGAGAAAAAGAATTCTTGCTCATACTTCATAGATTCTGGTGAGAAAAAGAGCCCTTAACTGGGCAATAGAGAAGTACTTAATAGAGAAGAAACAAAAGAAAAAAATGTAACTTTCCTTTTTCAAGGCCCATAATAGCTACATTATTCATAAATTAAATATACATCCTCATTTTTAAAATTTTTGTCTAGATTACTGAAAATTGTAAAACAAAATTTTATTCAGTCAAAAAAGAAGTCTGAGTTATGATTCCAGATGAACCAAAAGAAATTCTTGCTCATACTTCATAGATTCTGGTGAGAAAAAGAATTCTTGCTCATACTTCATAGATTCTGGTGAGAAAAAGAGCCCTTAACTGGGCAATAGAGAAGTACTTAATAGAGAAGAAACAAAAGAAAAAAAATGTAACTTTCCTTTTTCAAGGCCCATAATAGCTACATTATTCATAAATTAAATATACATCCTCATTTTTAAAATTTTTGTCTAGATTACTGAAAATTGTAAAACAAAATTTTATTCAGTCAAAAAAGAAGTCTGAGTTATGATTCCAGATGAACCAACCTTTAGGGCCAATTCATATGTGGCTGAGCTCCAGAGATCTCTCTCTGCCATTAACTGTTTAATATCACTCTCCATCCTTCCTCTTTGCAATGTGTATAAGTCATGGTATTCTTCTACAATCCTAAAAGAAAAATTAAAAAGTATATACAGACTTTGTTTTTGAGAAGTCACACTTATTGGATAATTGTTATGATACTGGACATTTAAAAACAAGTTTGTTCTAAAATAGGCAGTTTGTTCTTTTAAAATTCATCATAAAGTAATTATGGCATAATTGCTGGTACCCAGTGAAATAGAAGAAAAAATAGTCACATTTCATTTATAAATCTTACAAAAGCCTTAAAGTAAAAAATTCAATATATTGTTCCTTGCTCTAAATGCTTTTCTTCATATTGTTTATTCACTAGAATTTTCACAACATGGTATTGCAATAGAATAACAGCAGTATATCTAATTTTAAAAATCTGAATACAAAATAGGATTCTTTATTAAAGACACAAAGCCCAGTAATTATGAGCCACTATACTTTTAAATTATATATAATTAATATGATTTAAAGAAATTCTCTACCAACCAACTAAAAGATTAAGTATAATCAAGTAAGTACCTTTTTCTTAACTACCTTTTCTTCATGTTTACCAGAACATACCTTTTCCTTCCAACTTAAACTGAAGCTTAGAATTAAATTAGAATTAAAAGTGCTTCTGAGATTGAATACAAACAAAGAAGTTGTAAAGGGGTAGCATTTCACAAGCCATTTGAAACACCTCCTCCCAAGGAATATTAACTTTGCTACAAGAATTAAAGGCCCATTACAGGAATTCAGCAAAGTGGCAGGATATAAAATCAATGCACAGAAATCAGTTGCACTTCTATACACTAACAATGAGACAGAAGAAAGAAAAATTAAGGAGTGGATCCCATTTACAATTGCACCAAAAACCATAAGATACCTAGGAATAAACCTCACCAAAGAGGCAAAGGATCTGTACTCAGAAAACTATAGAATACTCATGAAAGAAATTGAGAAAGACACAAGAAATGGAAAAACGTTCCATGCTCATGGATTGGAAGAACAAATATTGTGGGTTTTTTTTTTTAAGATTTTATTTATTTATTTGAGAGAGAGCGCGCATGCACACAAGCATGAGCAGGGGACGCGGGGGTGGGGAGAGGCAGAGGGAGAAGCAGACTCCCTGCTGACCAGGGAGCCTGACACGGGGCTCGATCCCAGGACCCAGGGATCATGACCTGAGCCAAAGGCAGACACTTAACCAACTGAGCCACCCAGGCGCCCCAAGAACAAATATTGTTAAAATGTCTATGCTTCCCAGAGCAATCTATACATTCAATGCAATCCCTATTAAAATACCATCAAGTTTTTTTCACAGAGCTGGAACAAATAATCGTAAAATTTGTATGGAACCAGAAAAGATCCCGAATAGCCAAAGGAATGTTGAAAAAGAAAACCAAAGCTGGCGGCATCACAATTCTGGACTTCAAGCTCTATTACAAAGTTGTAATCATCAAGACAGTATGGTACTGGCACAAAAACAGACACATAGATCAATGGAACAGAATAGAGAGCC